CTAATGAAAGAAAGTCTTTCAAAACCAGGTTTACATGTTAATAAGTAACCCCTATGGCAAGCTAACAACAAACAGAGCACCTTTACAGAAAAATGCCATATCATAGTTACATCAACTGAATTCTATGGACTTTAGTGAGTGGAACTTCTTAAGGAAGGGATCTTAAAACATCAAAGTCTTGCGTGGACATTAAGCTCCACTGATCCCTTCTGTAAAATAAAGTGGGGTCGTGTCCATCAAAAGTTTACCTTCTAGGCACTGTTGTGTCATGTGCTATACACCTTCACTCATACTCTGTTGCTTTTCAATAGTGTTCTTCTCTGTTTACTGTTATTTCTAAACTGCTTTGGCATCCTTCTGGGATGGAAGCCATTGTGTGTAAGAAATAAGAATGAACAACGTTCCTGAAGTCAAGCTGCTGCTAACTATATTTTGGGAAAACCTTTGTTTAACATAATCTAGGGTACATGCAGGATGTCAGAAAGCCATGTAAAAGACAATATAGACTGTTCCGCAAACTCCAGCTCACTTTGAAACATCCTTAGATTGCATATTTAAGAACAGCAGATTGAGTGGCACAGTGGTTTATGTACCAGCCCTCTTCTCACTGACACTTCAAATTTGGCTCATTTATTGTGCAGTATATTGGCTCACTTGACTTGAATACACTTAAACTTGTTCACACTATCGGACCTGAAGTCAGCTGTTTCCGTGGAATTCCACTTCATTTTCTGCATCATTGAAGTAACTCAAACCCCTCCCAATTTAGACCTACAAAGGATCTGTCTCTTTCTCCTGGGAGGAAGCCCCTGAAGTTTTGAGTTCAGACATCTATTGGTGTGAAGTGGGACTGCTTCATTATACCCCCCGTCCCGACCTTCTTCTCCTTTTCCCATGTAGCTGGGGTTGCATCACCACATCAGTCTTTTCCAGGCTTGCTTGTCCAATGCTTGCTATGTATCCACTCCATCCTACCATACACAGTCCATCCACCATTTTCTTGGCCATCCTCTTGTTCTTCGCCCATGTACTTTAATCTCAAGCATCTCCCTAACAAGATCCCCTTCATCCATCCTTTGTACACACCCATACCATTTCAGCCTCTTCTCTTACAGCTTCTTTTTGATATTGAAGACCTTGGTTTCACTCCTGATGACATCATTCTGTTGTCCCTCTTCTTTTTCTAAAAGCAAACTGCTCCTTTCCTAAAATGGGCTCCACTGTTGGACAAACGCAACTATGATTCTAACATCTTCATACAATGGGGCAGCAATGTAATTCCTTATTACTCTGAATGTATATGTCACCATTTTGTTTGTATATTGGTACCAATATGGACTTTTTCCATCCTCTTGGGAGCGTCTTCTCTTTCCAAACTGCACACAAGACACACTTGAGCCAGCATACACGAAACTCTCTCAAGGCTTTGATACTTTCCACCATGACTTCGTCTGGACCTGCTGCTTTTCCAGGTGCCATCTTCAGCAGTGCAGTCTTGATGTCTGCCTCTGACAGGTCAGAGACATCTGTGATTTTCGGTTCCCACAATGGTAGTGTAGCATATAAAGTAGACCCTCATTAAGTTGACCCTCAAAGTAGTCTTATTTGTTATTCATATTATCACGCACTCTCATATCTATATCTCATCAATACACAGGCTTCCAAACTGGGAACCACATTCACTGGTGACCTTTACAAGAATTAACTGGTACCAGATTTTATTTGTTTTATTTTCAAAAGGAATAATCAAAGTTAACAAGCCCCAAACTTATCCTGTTATCTGGGTATTTTACAAAAAGAAACAGGAGGTGTAAGTATTTTCTAAAATTATCTCCCAAGGGAAGGCCTAACACAACATTCAAGTTTCAGCTCCTCACCTAGGAGAAGCATACACTCAGGGTGGAGTTTATTATGACTGGGGATGTCTACTAAAAGTGGGTGTTCATTCATGTCATCTTCCTACTCCTCCTAAAAGCCCACATCTTCGCTCCCTATGGGGAAATGCTGCAGCATGTATCTGCCAGATAATAATGATTGATTCTAAGGGAATTAGCATAATTACACTTGTGTTAAACTTTAGTAAAAGGGAAGTGATGCTTCAGTCAAGCAGACTCATAGCCCTTTGAAAATCACTGGAAAAATTCAAGACTTACTCCACTATAAACTGAATTTTGCTATAATCTACTTCACTATGCAGCATGTGGGTGTGGGTCACTTGCCAGAATTATCTGAGTGTATTTCCCTACCATTGTGGGGGCCTCAGGCACTGGTGTCTGGGGTCCCTCGTATTCTCTGCCTGTGGATGATTTTTTTTGTTTGGTTAGTTGCAAGGAAGATGCTAGATTGATGTCTCTGGAAACTGAAGTTCTATCTTTATCCACATAACGTATACAGCACTGGCTTGCTCAAAATGCTCTACCAACATGCCTCAAGCTTAACCCTGTGGCAGCATTTCTAGGAATTAAATGGTGTTCAATGCCTAGCCTTTCTGCAGACAACACTGTGGCGGTGCACCCCATAAGGCTTTATGGAAATATGCTTATGAATATATATATGACCTAACTGGAATATGTTTTATGCTACATATGCCATGTAACATAGCTATGTAAAGGTTATTCATAAGCATATTTCCATAAAGCCTTATGGGGTACACCGTCACAACCACTAAGTGCCAACTGTAGCAACAGCTTTTGCAACATACTCAGCTGTTCGGCAGCAACTGGACTCAAATCATCAACTCATCTCATTTAAACCACAACACAGCTATCAGATGTTAACTCTGGTCACTACAATGTGGGTTAGCTGGGAGGTGAAAATCTCTATGCAATTGTCCATTCTAGGAGCCAGTTTCCCTGATCTCGTATGGGTTTATCACGTTTAAAAAGGGATTTCTAAAAATTTAATTTTACATCTTATCTAACAGATCAAGAGATGACTTACTAAGTTATGCCCTTTTTCTTTAAAAAAGGCTACATACTCATAATTTATGTCTTTTCTTTACTGAGTAGGTTTATGCATATTCAATGTAAGTACTGTAGACTGAAAACACAATTCTCTTCCATCTCAATAATTAAGAACAGAATTTATAAATAGCAGCATGATCAAGAAACAATGGGAAAGCACAGGATACCCACAGGAAGCATACACCAAACATTTTCCAAATGGAGATAAAAGACAAATAAGCAGGGAGAATGCAAGGCATGACTACAGTACACATCAAGAGAAAGGGAAATCCATATCAGAATAGCCACTCCAAATTCACACATATTGCTAACAACTCACAGTAAATATCAGTTTTTAACTATACAGAGACACCCATCTCTTCTTATATTTTATACTAACTTTATGAAGACATGCATCTGAAGAAGTGAGGTTTTTACCCACGAAAGCTTATGCCCAAATAAATCTGTTAGTCTTTAAGGTCCCACCAGACTCCTTGTTGTTTTGAAGACAGGGTTTTGTGGCATGGTTATTTTGTTGAGACAGTTTTTTCGGCATTAGATGATACAAAAGACATAGGCACAAAAAGTACAGGTGAAACTTATTCAAATGATCCTGTCATTTTCTGCGGAAGCCCGAATAGCTCTCTTTAAAATTCCACATTCTAGGCATGTTTAATAGGTAACCTGGTGCTAAGGACTATAGAATTCTGCAGTTAGCTAAGGAGTAACCTTGCTTAAAGGAGAGGTTTTTTTCTGGTATACAAGTTGTCTGAAATTCTGAAATAATTAAATGTCTCTTCAAGTAAGGCCCAAAACCTCTATGATATTTTTGTCTAGTAAAATGACATTTACTGGTCGGACTGCTAATAAGAATTATGGACTCACCAAGCAAGGTTCAAGGACAGCACTTTGGCAGTAATCCCAGCATCCTCTATTCCAAGCAAGAGTGGAGTCCATACTGTACAAGGGTATTGCTATTGTACAGTGCATTCCCTCCCCCTCATCTTTAATAGCAGTCTTTGCTAGTAGGGCTAATCTTCCGGCTCTTGGGTGTCTGGGAACATACAAAAGATTAGGTGGGCAGAAAAGGGGTCGGAGACAGATTGGACAAGTTAAAAAAATATGGTATTAAAAGATCTTGGGGGAAGAAAGAGCCAAATATTTGGAAAGAGGTAGAGAACAACACAGGGAAAGATAGATATACAAGGAGGTAGGAGAGAAAAGGAGGAAATAGGGAAGACTGAAACCACCACCGGGGAAAAAATGCACCACGAGCAGGTCAGAAAAAAATCTAAAAGATGCAGGAGAGGGAGGGAAGTTATGTTTCAGGTAGTTAAATTGAAAGAAGTTTGATTAAGTTACAAAATTATTACACTATTTATTTATTCCATTAAACTGCAGGGCTGTGGCAGCAGCCAGGTATTGATTACCCTGCTAGTGGAGGCAGGGTAAATTTTGAGCCAGCCCCAATATCTTCGGTAACTAACAAGTACCATTATCCTGTTGACATAATTGTTGCAGTCTCCAAGTCTAGTAAACTCTGCTGAGCTCAGGCTGTTGCAGTTTTGAGTTCTGTGCTATCTGGAGCGTCACCTGCTACGAGGCCTGTCAGAGCGTACTGTGCACCTCTGACCCTGAAGAAACCCTGAAAACTGCAAGATGTGAAGATGGAACCTGCTCGGCAAGACCGTCATCATAGAATCTGCAGGACATTGGGCAAGGAATGTGTGCATGTGGGGATGGCTAACTGATGGAAGAGCACATCTTAGATTGGGTATGGTTGTGTCTGGGGATGCTTCTCCAAAACTTAATATTTATTTGGTTAGAGGATTTAGCTACGGTTCACACTGTTCCTTTGTATTTTCTGATCCTGCTCACTGATTCTTAGTTATGATCAATATTGTATTATAGAGTTAATTAAACTTGCAGTTGACTAGTTGTCTGACACCACGCAGTGGTGCACCACTCTTTCTGCACAAGTATAAAGAAGCCTTGGGAAACACAGGAATGAAGCAGTTGAAACAGAGGAAGAGAAAAAGAGAAAAGATATGTGCTCACCACTGGACTTGCCCGAGCAGAGCTGGCTCTAGAAGATGCCCGAGATCCGGAGCCAAGGTAGCAGCTGTACTCCGACGGCTGCCCGCAAATACCCCAAGAACACAGTAAGCAGAGATAAGAACAGGATTAGCACTGGAGCAATCAGAGCAATAGAAGAGTCAGAACAATGCCATTTCAGGTTAGTTACAAAAGGGGTACATGCAGCTGTGAAAGAAGAAAGAGGAGGTTGAAGTTGAAGAGCAGACACCTACTTTAGACAAAAAGGTCAGCATAAGCAATTGGTACAGCAAATGGACTGAGTAAAAAGGTTTTGGTTTAACTCTTACACCATGTGGAGCAGAGAGATATTTGTACTTAATATTTTATTTGAAAGTTTAAGATATCAATCAGACATTCCTTCAATTTCTGTATGTATGGAGTGATTCCATCCCATTCCTTCATTAGCAGATCTTACCTCCTAGCTCTGTTCAGTCCTGTGATGCTTTGGGGGTTCACCCAGACCAGTAAGGGGTTCTGTCAGCCCCTGCCCTGTAACCTTGGGTGCCTTAGGCTGTGCAGCTTTGCTTGAGAGCCCTGACACCAGCAGTATGCCCACAGCACAATGGTCTCACCCTGAGCACTGACCAGCCCACTTATTCCTTGCAGGATGACTCCAATAACCTTCCAGACACTAGTCTCCCCAAAACCATCTCCTCTGCAGCGGCAAGTCCCTTTTACTGCTCAGTCATAGAGGGCTAACAAGTTGTTTGTACTGGCTCTTTGGAGGCATCTCTGTGAGTGTCTTGTAAGAGGACTGGATGCTGCAAGTGAGAATGTTTTGGGGCACTTCGGGTCCAGAAGGGTTGTTGGGGATGCCCTGCAAGGAGTAACTGGGCTGGTGGAAGCGCAGGGCAAGACCACTGTGCTGTGAGTATACTGCTGGTGTCAGGGCTTTCAGCCAAAGCTGCACAGCCTAAAGGTACCCAGGGTTACAGGGCATGTGGCAAGAGAACCCCTTTTTGGTCTGGGTGAAACCCCAAAGTGCCACAAGCCCCTCACCCTCTTCTGCAATACTGTGCAGTTACAAAATGAACACTTGCTCAATACCCAAAGCAAGAAACCTCCGTGGTTAATAAGTGTTTCTTCTTGATTGGATGCAGATACTATGGTAAGAACTGTACCCTCCTATAGACTGAGAGCATCACCCCTTCGGCCTCCATCTCCTGCTGACGTAGGGATTCTAGTCGTTCCTAAGAGCAGCTTTCTACAGAGCAAGATATAATTGACAGTGTTGACTTGTGGCCGACAGGTTTAGGCGAAAATAGTCAGAGACATTATCGTGTTAGTCACCACATTGACAGGCTGGAATCTGGTGAAAGTGGAGAATGCAACAGTATAAAATAAGGAAGGAGTTTTACCCATTAGAAAATCAGAATTGAAATCTCTTTTGGATTTGAATTTCCGAATTATTTCCCCCCACACACGTGACACATACTTCCACAGCAGCAATCAGACACCCTATTGCACTGTACCGTATTGTTACACACATGAATTGTCAGGTGTAGATAAAGAAGATTTCAGCATATTTATAACACACTTGAGCCAAAAAAACAAGTGGTCTTTATGCTCATTTCCTGCGACACTGTTTCTGTCACTACTGCCTCAAAGACAACTGTGAATGTAATTTTTCAGAAATGCAATTTTGATTGTTAAAAAAGCAGGAACTGAAATACACATAGCATGCCCTGTTTATTGTGTCCTTCAATGATCAAAAAGCCTTATGACTCATTGCATTTCAAATGCTGTTGGAGACAAGACTGACCTTTTGTTGACTGCCTTGTCAATGAATTCCTATAATCAAAGATGTCATCCGAGATGCAGATTTCTGAATAGTATTAACAGTGGTGTGTGAGAGACAGTATGATTTTGTAATAATATTGGTGGTTATTTTGTAAATAAGACTATTTTTGGAATAAAGTGCTGACAATTTAAGCTTTAAATTTGACCTTCTAAACAACTATTGGAATCTGAAGAGGAATCACCTTGATGCTAAAGGTAGTTTCTTTCTATTAAAATAATTTCTGAAGACAGACAACACTAAAATATACCAACTTCCGTAACTCAATTGGGCCAGTAGAGAAGCCATCCTCAACTCCTCAGCTACTGAGAGAACTGACAAGATTGAGTATCCTCAAGGTGAAAAGGCCAGTGGAAGCTTACTTACTTTGTTTTACAGGTGGGTAGCAATGCAATTTCTAGTGGGGGGTGTTGTTTTTTCCCCCTTGGCTGGATGTTTGGTTTTTGGGGGAGGTTGTGTGTGTGGTTTTTGCTTTGTTTTTTAAAACAAGATGAGAATTGAAGCTTATGTAGGAAAAAAACTTTCAAGATTGGGACAGAAATGGTCCTTTCTGCAACAGAGCCATAAGCTTAACAAGTGTGACTTCAAGACAGTACACTGGCAGCAGATAACAGCCAACAAGCTATGGAAAAAGGAGATAGGAGCACCCTGAAACCCTGCTTTTCTTGATATTCTGCAGATAGTGACAAAGCTTCATGCGTGTTGACTATTGAACTTTGTCTCAGAAAAGTCAGAGCAAATACCTAAGGATTCCATTCCCTTAAGAAACCTGTTAGATGAGTCTTGCTCCATCACTGCTATTAAAAATATACATTAAGTAAAACAAAAATGTAAGAAATTATTCTTGAAATATATTATGGGGGAAATGTAACTGCTCATACCAGTCTAATAGTGAACTATTGTTTCTCAGCTACCTCGTTCCCATTTGTTCCTCTCCTTGCTTTAGCATTTATAACCAGGGATAAAGCTGCTCTCTGTATTTAAGGATCTTGTGGGAAAACAATTTGTAAAATGTCATTAGCAAAAGAAAAAGATGGATTGCTGAGTTAAGTGCCCTCTGGTCAGTAATTTGGGGGTGAGCAAGGAAAGAAGAACTACATACCACTTTGTCCTACACATTCGCTCAGTGTCTTTGGCTAGTGAGGAAGAGGACTCCAACATTCTTCAGGAACTGCTTCTTGGCAACAATTGCCGAAATGTCTCTTCCAGATATGAGCAAAGCTATAAACTTCACGGCCACGAGCATAACTGTGTCAGTGCAAAGCTGTAATCAAGATATTCCTCTGGAGGCAGGGGTGAAAATAACTTAAAGGACTTACCGGTATGCAGGGCCGGGGTCCTGAGCAGGGGGTGGGGCTTCAACCAGAAGGGGTGGGGCCTCAACCGGAAGGGGTGGGGGCTTTAAATCCCTGGGGCTTTTAAATAGCAATTTAAATCTGGCAGTGTTTTAAAGGGCTCTGGCAGCAGCATGCTGGGGGAGCCCCGGGCCCTTTAAATCATCAGCAGAGCCCATGGTAGCGGTAACTGCGGCTGCTGCCAGGAGCCCTGGGCCCTTTAAATCGCTGCCATAGCCCCGGGCCTCCCGGCCACCGCCGCCGCCACCCCGGGGCTCTGGCTGCTGCCCGGAGCCACGGGCCCTTTTAAATTGCTGGCCTGGGGAAGCTGCCCCCTGCCAGAATGGTCAGCTGTGTACCCGTTCTTGCCGGTAGGCCATACTGGACCGTACTGGCTTACTTTCACCTTTGTCGGGAGGCAAAGGCCTCATATTTCAACTGTCTTGTGATTACAAAGCACCATGCTACACTAGAACTGGAGAGACTGCATTCTTCACCAGCATGCAGAATCTGTGGCACAGTAGAGAGGAGAAGAGAATGATACTACGGACATTAGTGTCTTTGTACAACATCCTTAGGCTTGGCAGAATTTTTTTTTTTTTTAAATCATTTCCATGGGTATCATCAATGTTTATTTTTATCTATTTAAATGTTCACAGTTGAGGGAAATTATGGGGGTCCAGACAATTATTTAATGACCGTAGACATTGAGATATAAAAAGTTAAAGCTTTATAACCATTAAAACACAAATTGTCAATACCATGGGTCAAAATAGACAAAATAAGAAAAATGCTGCATGAGAACTTACTAGAGTTAATTTTGTATATCTGTAAATTTCAATCAATGGAAATATTTTTGCACTTGTGTGGTCGGTGAAATTGAATTTACTGACATTTACTGATAAAAATTTAATCCTTCCAAGCCTAAACATTCTCCATTCAAAACGCTATGCTCCATGTCTCAACAAGATGGAGAAATAGCTCTCAGGCTCAGAATCCACAGTAAATGAGCGTTTTGCCCAAATCAGGACTGCAGGATATGATCCTTTGAGATATGTGTCTAAATGACACACACCTCCACCCACCAAACATGACTGCACTGTCCAGATGGCAAATCCATTGGATTACAGGCTGCTAGAACCTACCATCAATGGATGTTGCAACAGAGCAAAATGAAAACAAGAAGCAAATTAATTTGAAGGGCAGAATAATATTGATAAAATGTACAGTTCTATTAGCAAGTCCTCTTTTGATTGCAACAGAATGTCATGTACTGGTCGAGGATAAAGTGAAAATATCAGCTGAATTAGAATTACAGAGACGATTTCAATTTATTTTTCTAAGTTAAGAACAGGACAACACTTAGAACGCATAAGAGAGCATTAGAATATCTATTTGTCATTAATTACTGGTGAAAATAATGCAGAAGGTTTAAGATTTTCACAAGGGAAGCACTGAACAATGAAGGTCTCTATTTACATTTTCAGAGCAGGCACAATGGCAGTATAAGTTTCCTCACACTGCCGCACCAAAATGGCTCCAAACCTGACATGGGGACACTGGCTGAGAGGAGAAGGGGTGTCTTTATCTTTAGCTTGTGTTTTGCGATTGACATTAAGGGTATTACTAGTAATGCTGATATTTGTAACCTGTCCACTAGTTAATGGACGACGCCCTACCCATCCCCTAGCTCATTTAAATAAGCCAGTGAACAACCATTAAATGCTAATAAATTGTCATTTCTGACCAGAGTCAGATTTAAATGGGTAGAAGCATCTCCCATAAATGATTCCTTGAGCTCTCCAGTCTCACCCTAGCAAGTATTAGAGACTATCATCCTCCTAAGTCACCTGGTGTTAAATACCATGTTACAAGACAATGAACCCCAAACCATGACTAAGTCACAAGTCTGGCACATACTCTAAGTGGAAACATAGTAGCATGGGGGTACTGAATTAAGCTAGCTGAAGTCAGTTTATTTAAAAGTGAAATGGAGCCCCAGGGAAGAAGGGGGATCTTACATAAATGTGGTTTTCCAGCTGATGCTTTGAATTTTCTTAACAGCAAATGAATTCAAAGGCAGAGCTAAGATTCCTTTCACCAGAAAGGGGAACCCCTTATACTGCGTCATCTTGAAACTAATAGGTGATACCCCTGCACAGTGTAGTATGACAATTGCAGGTAGGACACTTAGTATTTGTCTCCAGTGAATCTACATGGAGGGAACTTTGTAGAGGTGATGCTCCCAGTCTTGTTTACATAATTCTCCATCAGCAGCTATCTGGCCAGTAATCTTATACTGCCCATTGATACAGATAAAACTACGCTCTAGTAAAACAGGTTATCATAGGAGAAAACACTGAAGACAGGCCCAGCAGAAAAATGCAGAAAACATCTTACAGCACGAGAACTAGAGGCACTATATCGACGATTCCCACTGTAAATGCTCTCATCATACAGAGACGCCTACAATTAAAAAACAGAGTCAGCACAAAACTGGTAGACTTTGGTTTTGTTTCTAATCTGGAGCATTACAAGATAGCAAGGTGCAGCACAAACGGGGGCGGGGGGGAAGGCAGAAGAGAATGAACAAAGGTGCAGAAACAACAGGGGCATTTCCTGTAAAACCCCGTATGGCATGCAAGTGAAGAATGAATCCGCTAATTCTTAGCTCCAGTGAGCTGTGAAACACTACAGAACACGTGCAGAATTAAAATGAGAGATCAAAAAGTCATCAGAAACTTCACACATTCATGCATTAACAGTTCTTTTTCGAACTATCAACTTTAACACTTAAAATTACCTGCTATAAAGTGACAACATCAATTCTTATAATTTTAGTGGTGCTAAACCAAATATTTCTGGGTTGGAACAGTGTAAGGAAAAGAGAAAAGTGGATTCCTGGTAAATTTAATTGAAAAAGAGAGATTAGTTACTGAATTAATAGGAAGCTGTTGGTGGGGAAGCATGTTCTAAACCGCTACCATGTGGTTCCATTTTAGAACACCAATGTCTGGCTTAGTTATGTGGCTCCGAAAATGCAGGGTAGGGTTGCCTATCACCACTGTAAAGACTTGAGAATGAAGTTAAACTGAGTGTGCAGCTAACACAGGAGAACAGTGGGAATGTATTCTGCAAGAAACATTACACGGTATATTTTGTTTTCAAACAAGACACATTTTTGCCACTTCGTATAGGTCAGGATTGATGTTGCCTCTTTCTAGTCCATATTTCAGTGTCCTACATCAGACACCAAAATGAAGACAGAAATGTCTTACTCCAATTAGAAATCTGCAGAAGTGTTACAGATCCATAAGCAACTGTTGCAGAATTCCAATGGGAGTAAAATGTAGGACCAGCAAACAGAGTTGACAGATGCACCATGGGCATATGTGCATTCCATTCAAAAGGATCATATACTAAAATGACAGTATAGTACAATATAAATAAATTGGACCAACAAGATGGTCTCAACAAACTGCAAAGGCAAAAGACAACATGTGCATGGGTGAGTGCACAGCTTCTGCATTTGTGGTTAAAATGACAAAGCACAACAAACCCTGTAACTTCTGGCAGGCAGAACATCACTGTACAGCAAGGAGGGCTGGGGAAGACAAGCACAAACCTTTTTTATATAAAAATGGATAACAGCAAAAAGTGTTCATATTGGGATTAATCATCCTGGTCAGACCTAATCATGCTATTAAAACTGGTATGCTATAATGCAAGGAAGCGGAATGTACAGATATTGTACACAGTATTACAGAACTGTATTAACCATCTGTGCTTAAAAACCTGAAAGTTCAAGTCCAAACAAGACTAAGTATAAAGTAGACATATGCATGTTTCCTACAGGAAGGGAGGATATCAGAGAGTGCAGAAGCAAAACCGAATAACTTATTTTAGTCACTAATCCTCTCCTACTGTCTAAGAGAAAGACCTATATGTAAGGCTAGGATTTTGTCATGGAGGTCACCGAAGTCACAGAATCCGTGCCTTCCAAAACATGACTTCAGCCCACAGGCAGCAGGAAATGCAGGGTACCCCCACCTGCTGAGGCGGCAGGGCCCCGCAGCTCCCGGCCATCTCAGGCGTCAAGGGGGACCCTGCTGCCCCCGACCATCATGTGGGACCCCACAGCTCCAAGCCGAGGGGAAAGGGAGACCCTGGAACTTTGAGCCCCCATGGGTGGTGTGGGCCCCCGGAGCTCCCAGCCGGCCCCCACAGCTACCGAGAGGCTCCCCATTTTGTCAGATATTTTTAGTAAAAGTCAGGGACAGGTCACGGGCTTCCGTGAATTTTTCTTTATTGCCCATGACCTGGTCCCTGACTTTTACTAAAAATATCCATGACAAAATCTTAGCCTTGCCTATATGTACAGCAGTCAGGAGAGCTTATGACCATTCTAGTTTCAGTCAAAGCCAGCAATTCAAAAACATAAGTAACTTTGGTACAATACCTACAGAGACAGGAAAATTATGAGGGTAGATTTTTAAAATACTCAAGACAGTTTTGAACCGTCTGTGACCTATTTTATTATTGAACAGAAAGCGACAAAATCTAATTATTCAGACTCAGGATGGACAATTTTGCATACATTATAAGACTGGATACCATCAAATAAAAGAAACAGGGAGGTGCATTCACAAAAGACATTACTGTTAGTAATACACATTCCCAGGAGGTGAGAGTTAAGTTCAGAGTGCACATACAGCAAAACTACACAAGGCACAATACGGTGCTGTATATACATTAACAGCACCCTCACCCAGCCAGACACACTGTACTTTGCCTGCATGCAGAGAGGACAATTCAACCTCCAAGAGGATTTTAAGGCTTTATGCTTAGTGATTTTCTTGCACTAGTACAGGAATCATTTGCCTTGTAAATTACACAGAGTGGGAAGGTTGCAGCTTTATCTCACATGTGCCAACAGGAAATAGACTGGCAAGGTGAACAGAGAAGTGGTCTCAGCTAAAATAAACTACTAATATTTAATGGGGATTTTGCAGTCTTTTCCAAGACAAAATTTATGACAACTGTCAAAAGCAAAATAAAACAATTGCAGGAAAAGGAGAGGCACAGATCAACATCATGACCTGTCTTAAACAGATCTCTGTTTCCCATTCCAGACATAAATTGAAAAATGTACAAAGAAAATTCGTAATAAAACACAAGACCTAGACACTCCTGGCAACCAGATCGACAAAAGAGTCATTACTTCGCTCCAAGGTCCTATCATTATTTGTGTGAATACAGGAGGTTGTATTGTCCAGGTGAACTCAAAACAAAAAAAGTCAAGGTTAGAGGGAAACAGACAGCGACAGACCCTATTTCCATTTTGGGAAGAAGGTTGGGATTTGGAAGTAAAGCCACTGTTGCGAAGACCAAGGTCACAGTAGTAGGAACCCTGTTTCAACAGGAAGAAAAACCTGAGAACTCTGCTTAATGTGAAAGAATTGTCAAATTCTGTATTAATTCTTTTAAATTAGGACAGTGGTTCTCAAACTTCATTGCACCGAGACCCTCTTCTGACAACAAAAATTACTACACGACCCCAGGAGTGGGGAACGAAGCCTGAGCCTGCCCAAGCCCTGCTGCCCTGGGCGGGGGGCCAACGCTGAAAGGCTTTAGTCTTGGGCCGGGGGTGCGGGGGAGGAGGGCTGTAACCTGAGCCCTACCACCCAGGGCTGAAGCCCTCAGCTTTCGGCTTCAGACCCGGGCGGCGGGGTTGGCCTTTGGCTTCGGCCCCGGGAGTTAAGCTGACCTAACCCCCAGAGTAGACCGCACTCTGTGGACAGAAAAATCTTTCAACTGACCTAGCTACCATCTCTCACGGAGGTGGAGTACCTACACCAATAGGTGACCCCTCCCATTGGCACAGGTAGTGTCAACACTGAAGCACTACAGCAGTGCAGCTGTGGCATTTCAAGTATAGACAAGCCCTCAGGCACGTAAGCACTTAGACACTTGAAAATTTGACCTCACGTGAAAGAACACATTACTCTCATCCACTATATCCTCCAGTTTAATGCTTAAAAGCTCTGAAGCCTAGCCAAAAATCTATGAATACCATTTATCACCTTGTCTTGTCCTTGTGCAGAGGAATTACCAATGTATACAAAACAGCAGAGGCACCTCTCATTTAGCTATCATAAATAGATCGTATTTCAGATTCTTAGAACAAATTTCAGTAACAAACAAGCTGCACTATTTTGTGCATCACTGATCGAAATCTGCCAGCAACAGCTTTTCCTAGAATTATTTTTCCATAGCTTCAGACTTGGGAGTCAAAGGGGAATGGGGGAGATAAAGGAGAGAAGAGAAGGGATTGCATTCTTCGGCTTGGAATTCTTATGAAGATGAAGGTGAGTTTTTATAAAGACAAAATTATTTGCTTTTTCTGGATTTAGGCTGATTATCAGCACCTCCAACCTTCCCTGCTGAACAGGAGAGACCCTGACAGCCGCAGAATGTAGAATAGAGAACCAAGATAGGCTGCAACAAACCAGATTTAACAAAAGGCCTGTTCCCACTCAGTTAAACAAGAAACCTAGTAAAACTAGGAAGTAAAAACCTGCCAAACTCTAACCCCAAAGAGTTATTTGGAAGGCTGGGTGCTCTACAATATAGAGCAAAAAATACAGGGTGTCAAAAGACCACCTGAGTGGTCTGGGGAGCATCCAGAGTGTGAGAAGCCAAGCCTTTTTCCTGATATGCCATAGCTAACAGAAGCAGGGAACAACCCACTGTCAGATAAGGTGCGACAATGAGAAGCACAAAAAAAAAGTGCAGGCCTAGGCCACTCAAATGAAGTATCTTCCGTTGTGTCATTCCAGCAGCTTCAATTCCAGTAGCTAGCTTGCATCTGTTTAGTTCTGCATCTGGCTGGCCCAACTAGTTAGATGGGGAGATTTTAATGTAATTTCTAGGCAGACATGGGGAAAAATACCAACAGCCAACTTTAAAGTAGGCTATGGATGAAGGATCTCTGTGATACTGACAGAAGCTGTAGGAAACTCTAGTAAAGACTTGCAAGAGATGAAGTGAGACTCACTCCAAACACTCAAATGTTGTTTTATATCTTTTAGGCAGCTTTTGAGGTGGGGTGACCCTCTGGTAGAGCACAAGGGTTTATCTGCAGCAGTCTGTGGTGTCTTTTATAAATATCTGGGGATAGGGCAGGCAAATAAGGCATGCCAGGTCCAGGCCTTCAAGTAGTGGAAAGGCAGTTTACAACACTTAATAGGACTATTAGTTTCCCAAAAGCTTTAGGAAAAATGAGATGTATTATATACTTGTAATGTAGCATACAGTAACATATAATATTATGGTTAAGTCATGTTAAGAATTAAACGGCTTGGTGCTTTGCATGCACAAACAACACATTTGCAAATTAAAACCTGTTCTCTGTTTTAAACATACGGGTAGGATGTAAATCTGTATGGTTCTAAGGGAGATACAGGTACATCTTATGAAGAAGCTAATGGATCCAAGCAAGTGCAGTCACTATGAAGTCTTCTTGCAGATCTTTCTTCTTGTTTCCACACAATATGACTGTGTGTGAAGTTACAACCAGTTGCCAGGAGCAATCCAAAAGGGAAAAGGTGGTAAAAATCCTGCACAGAGGAATAGATGCAACCTCCATAATTCACCAGAGTTCCGTAGGCCACTTACAAACAAGGGTGACAATACAGTTGCTTACCCAACAGGCTGTTTACTTAAGGTGACAGTTCTGTATGCATACAAAACCACTGCATCTAATCTCATAGTAAAGAGTGAATTTGTAGTGACCCCTTCAAAGCCTTTCTGTAATGCAAGTCTCAAAAATGAGACACAGGTATGCTCAAAAGAGAGGATGTTTGTTCCTAGAAAACTTTTCCTCTTTTTCTTCTCTTCCCTACCCCAAAGGTCTTGTGTTACAACCCCCTTCCTCCTCATGATACTTCAGTCAAGATACATGACGCTCTATTCTCAGTAATAATCACTTTTCAGTGATATCCATCTTTAAAGCTTCCTCACAAACCTTCACTAATCCTCACACTGTCACTATGAGATAGGTAAATATTACTCCCATTTTACAAAGGAGGGAGCTGAAGTTATGTCAGAGGTAGTGTGACATGAAGAGGACATATGCTTTATTTTCAATATTGTTTAGACCTCTGACATTGGAGAATATAGGCAGCTCGATGGATAAATCACTAGATATGGAGATGTTTGTATCATTGGATAAATCTTTATCCTGTAGAAAAAGCTTAAATCCATCTCTTCCCAATTTAACTACAATTCTTCTGATAAGATAGCTAAAAAGGTTTTCATGAGACAGGGTTTGGGAGTTCTCAGCTGAGCTTAGTTATAGCTGGGAAACAAATTACTTTCATACCCATTGAGATTTCAAAATCAGCACATCTAGTGATATCACAATAGCTATGGTCCATGTTTAAATGGTTCACCGTTTTGTGATGCACTGATGTGATCTCAAGGTATGAAATTAAATATCACTACAACTCTGTACCACATATCACATGTTGCAAATAAAAATGTGATTTTAGAAATATAGTTGTAATATTGGCGTACTTATTACATTATTAAGCAAAGAACTTCTGCCTGTTCTAGATTATTCCTTTATCCTTACTGCTTTCCTGTTTGCCACCTTTACTCCTCCCCCGCAAATAATTATGCTGCTGCAAGCTGAATGCTAGCAAGACAGACGGAGTAATGTTGGAGGTGGAGTTTATTATGCTCTATAAAGACAGCTCAACTAGGTTACTGTTCCCCTAAACCTTACTAAACTTTACTCTCCCTTCAAATAGTGATTAAACTGAATTACTGTTAGTAATGAAGACATCAAGGAGTGAATAACGGGATTGTAATCATGCTCTACATAAAAAACTCCATGCTACAAACCCTGCAGTTTCCACAGAAATCATTTAAATATTTAAATAGAAACCAACCGACTTCTCCTCCCTGGATGACTTCTTTGTAGATTTTCTGCTTTCCCCGCTGTAGTTGGAGCTCTAGAGTATGTCATTAAAGAACAAGAACATCATTTATCAGAGATGCTGGCACAAGTCAAAAGAGCAACAAGTCCTCTGAAAAGACTGTACAATGTTTCCTTTTGTCAAACAGTTCAGCAAGATTGGCAATACTTAAACTTCTTAAACTATGTAGATAACAAAAAATATCCTTGTTCATGTTGTCTTTGTTGCAATTTCAGCTAATTACTGCAAATTTAAGGCAGGCATAATGTACACAGCTACAATTTATCGCAACTACAGTATATCTTCAATTTTATGTTTTTTCCATTGAGTCTTGCTGCATATCTCCACATAGCTCGTTGTCTTAAGTTCTGATCACTGTATGCCTCCTTATGCATATAATGGGTGTAGCTACATGAAGTCTACTGCACTTACTCATTTCTAGGGTGACCAGATGAGAGGAAGAAAATATCGGGACACATGGGGGGGTGGCGGGGGGTGGGGGGACTGCCGGTGGAGGGGGGAAAAAAAAAGGCCGAGTGCTGCCAAATAACTCCACGGGCCGCATGTTTGAGACCCCTGGTCTAGAGCACTTGTTCTAAAACTGCAATCCACTGAACACAAGTGATCCATACATGGACAAAGTGGCTTAATTAATGATTAAATTAATTTTTTCTGACTTAATTGTGCAGCCGTACTGTTTAACATAGTTTTTCTATTTTTAATAAGCAATAGCATATTCACATGGCTATAATGTAGCTGTGGCGACACACAGAATGGACTTCCATCTCAAATGGTCCCTTGCAAGACTTCGTCCTTCAGTATGGGAGGTTAGGCTTCTTAAATCCCTGAAAATTGCATCTTCCAACCTCTTTTGTGGCTGACCTGATGCTTCCTTCAACCTCAGCTCTGTAAACCTTCCGTAGAAGTGTACCTTCTGCACGTTGGACATGACCCCACCATTATAGTCATCTTGTTCTCGGCTGGTACAAGACTGCAACTTGCTGGGATCATCTAAGTATTATGTTCATTTTTGACAGAATCAAACCAAGGGATGTTAAGCATACACTAACTTTTGACACTGAAGAGTGTTTAGTTCTCTCCTCAGCTGTTTTAATGGCTATGTTTCTGCTCCATCTAACAGGGTTATCACCATCACATTGAATTACACCTCGTATCTTAGTTGTCACACTGTGTGTGTGAAACAACATTTACAAATACTTTAGTAATACTGTTTGAGATGTAGTTTAAAACTCTATGGAAAGTTCAGACATTTGCTTGTATGCAAAACTGTTGTCTTATGGTTGTATTTATGAAAAACACCATCTTCAGATAGAGATCAATAGAATAAATCCCCTTTAGGTGTTCACAATTTAACAAATGAACTAATCTTTCTATGTTTGGCTCGGGGTTTTAAAAATGTTTACATTGGGGAAACTTATAAAAGTGAATTGATTGTACAGATTCAGTTAGATATTTCATGCCCACATTCCAATGGCAATCAAATCTCTATAAAGGATGCATGAAAGAGCACCAGAGCCACAAATCCAAGCTAGATTTCCACTGTCAAAAATATTTTTCTCCATAACTTGACTTTTTTTTTTTTACCCAATTCGTTTCCAAAGAACTATATTCTGGCCCCCAAATCCTACTTGAATTTTCTCAGGCCCAGTCTTTTTCCTTTCCACTCACAGCCTCTTAGAATCATAAAATCATAGAAGATTAGGGTTGGAAGAGACCTCAGGAGATCATCTAGTCCACCCCCCTGCTCTAAGCAGGACCAACCCCAACTAAATCATCCCAGCCAAGCCTTTGTCAAGCTGGGCCTTAAAAACCTCTGAGGATGGAGATTCCAGCACCTCCCTAGGTAACCCATTCCAGAGCTTCACCACCCTCCTAGTGAAATAGTTTTCCCTAATATCCAACCTAGACCTCCCCCACAGCAACTTGCAACCACTGCACCTTGTTCTGTTATCTGCCACCACTGAGAACAGCCTAGCTCCATCCTCTTTGGAACACCCCCCTTCCAGTAGTTAAAGGCTGCTATCAAATCCCCCCTCACTCTGCTTTTTTGCAGACTAAATAAGTCCCTCAGCCTCTCCTCATAAGTCATGTGCCCCAGCCCCCTACTCATTTTCTTTGCCCTCCGCTGGACTCTCTCCAATTTGTCCACATCCCTTCTGTAGTGGGGGCCCAAAAATGGCTGCAATACTCCAGATGTGGCCTCACCAGGGCCGAATAAAGGGGAATAATCACTTCGCTCGATCTGCTGGCAATGCTCCTATTAATGCAGCCCAATATGCCATTAGCCTTCTTGGCAACAAGGGCACACTGTTGACTCATATCCAGCTTCTTGTCCACTGTAATCCTCAGGTCCTTTTCTGCAGAAGTGCTACTTAGCTAGTTGGTCCCCAGCCTGTAGCAGTACATGGGATTCTTCCATCCTAAGTGCAGGACTCTGCACTTGTCCTTGTTGAACCTCATCAGATTTCTTTTGGCCCAATCCTCCAATTTGTCTAGGTCACTCTGGACCCTATCCCTACCCTCCAGCGTATCTACCTCTCCCCCCCCCCCAGCTTAGTGTTATCCGCGATCTTGCTGAGGGTGCAATCTATCGCATCATCCAGATCATTAATGAAGATGTTCAACAAAACCAGCTCCAGGACTCACCCCTGGGGCACTCTGCTTGATACCGGCTGCCAACTAGACACTGAGCCGTTGAGCGCTACCCATTGAGCCTGACGATCTAGCCAGCTTTCTATCCACCTTATAGTCCATTCATCCAATTCATACTTTTTTAACTTGCTGGCAAGGATACTGTGGGAGACCGAATCAAAAGCTTTGCTAAAGTCAAGGTATATCACGTCCACCGCTTTCCCCATATCCACAGAGCCAGCTATCTCATCATAGAAAGCAATCAGGTTGGTCAGGCATGACTTGCCCTTGGTGAATCTTGTGGTTCACTTTTTTGTTTTGTTGTTTATGGACTTGGTAGGACTAGGAGCAGATGCCTAGCGAACTGCACCAGTTGTAATATGGAAGTCCGGGGGAAAATGCCTTCCAAAGCAGGGACCAAAAAAAGAGCATCTGCTATTTTGCTTTAGGAAAAGCCCTCAGTAAAGGAGACGGTTAATTTCTGGAAAAGCTTCCTGTTAATTCCATGAACTTGAGTGACAGATTTTTTAGAAATTCTCTACTAACCCTGCTAGATTTTCTACTCTGGGATGATCCATACATGTCTTCATCATAACCATTGGTCTGTCATGAGAGAAAAATGAGAGGAAAAAAACTTAAATGAAACCAAAAGAGGTCTCAGGGAAAGTCATCATTTATGCAGAGCTAAGCCATAGATGGTGCTTTTTCCACAAATACACCAGGGACAGTCACTGTGGTTCCCCAGGGATCATTATGACTTCAGACAGCTCATCGAACACTTGACAGTTTTGTCTGCCAGCAATACCTGTAACCCAGCGAAAGATGTCCCTGTTTTCACCTCAAATTTTCGTAAAAACAGTACAGCAGCAGAATGTATTTAAAGTCTCAGTCTTTACAGACTCCTTGGGAAGTGAAAAGGGATGATTTCACTTCAGTCTACTGAAGGGAAAGGGAAAATAATTTCCTTGCTTACCTAAGCTCTTCATTTCACATTGGTATTGAAGATTAAATACACTAATGTAGCTTTCTAAACACAAATTATACTGCACAACATCTCTTGCATTTGGTTTCCCTCATTTTTATTTACCTCATGCATCTATCCAGACATGACCATCTGCCATATCCCAGGATTCTACACAGCCCTTCGGATATTGGAAGATCAGAATCTGCCCCAAACCTCCTGGATTCACCTCTCTCTATGCTCAAACATCACACCTCTCAGCAATCTCCCCTCTTGACATGGATATGGTTCTCTTCAGGACCCAAACGTTAGTCCACTACGTTGTAGAACACAGGGCTAGTCCTATTTTTAATATGCAGACACCAGGAAATGTGATCTGCTAGCCAAGATCACCTGTGCCAACGGCCATTAAAATCACAGTGTCCCTGATAGTTCTACTACTTGCAAAGCATTATGAGGCCCTATTATAATAGCTAGAAAACTAACAATCCCTAAAAAAAAATTTGCAGTAGTGTTGTAGTCATGTTGGTCACAGATGAGAGAAACAGAAGGTAGGTGAGATAATATATTTTATTGGACCTACTTCTGGTGGTTGAAGGTAGCTTTTGAGCTACACAGAGCTCAAAAAGCCCAGACCTGAAGAGCTCTCTGTAGCTCAAGCTTGTACCTTCCACCAACAGAAGTTGGTCCAATAAAAAGTTATGGTACCTCACCCATCTTGTCTCTCTCAATCCCTAAAATTGTTATTGATAGGTTTTACTTTTACTACAAATATTCTCTATGTATTTTTAATGCATCACTAAAAGGAACATCGGACAAACCAATCTGAATCTGTTTTCAAACAAAATGCAACTGCATACTGACTGAAGATTTGTATGCCAAATTACAGACTAAAACAAATTAAAATGATAAATCCCCTCAAAAACAGAATTGGTAATAAAAGCCTTTAATAAATCTATGCCAATATGCACCAGTGCCTAAACATTTGCATTCATCTAGCAGGATTACCAATGATTGAATTTCTAATCACAAACTACACATTTCAAACAGTCCCCTGGCAACATATATGTTGCATATTCTCTCCAATAAATGTATGTGAAAAAAACTGAAAATGCTTCTTTCAAAGTACAATGAAATGTAACAAAAGAAACTCACTTTTAATCAGACTATCTTCTATATCAGTATAGAAATAAAAATCCATTCGTTAACACTAGTGCTGTTAATAGTTAATTGAATTTACAAAGTACAGTGGACTAAGATATTACTGTAGCAATTGGTGAGGCTATTTTATTTTTTGAGTCATCATGGATTTCCTAGAAAACGTGACCATTTGCTGTGAACAAAATCTTTGAAGTGTTCCAGCTTTCTGTTGGCCTTTCTACTTATGTATGCACAGAGAAAAACCTGATTAACGTGGATGTGATTAGGGTCTTCATACTACACAGACTTATGCACATGCTTAACTTTAGACTGCATTACGAGAGATTAACAATATCCTGTAAATTTGTGAACAAACCATATGGAATTACGATAAACTTTGTTGAATTAAATTAAACCTTACTGAATTAGGGTTAATATCTTGGGGTATGCTGTATTAAAATGCAATTGTGTACATGTGGCACTGTATGTACTCTCTCTAGTAGGGACAGGGATGCTAATGAATTTCTTCCTTTATCAACCTTAGAAACCATCCCTCTGGGGAGATGCGCATGTACTAGTTCAAACTGGATTTGCCAGGGACCAACAGAGCAAGAAACGATTTTTGGATAAATAGCCTGGTTTTAAAGTGATCCAGGGCCTTCTTCCTGACGCAGCAAATGGACAGGACCTCTGGTCCATGGAGGGTCACAATCCTTAGGGAAGGATTGGAAGGACTTGGCCTACTGAGAACTCATAAGACCACGTGCCTGTTCTGATCTGAAGCTGTAATGAACTTGTAACCACAATGACTCCCCAGGTGTCCTGATTTTATAGGGACAGTCCCGATGTATAGAACTTTGTCTTACATAGGCGCCTATTACCCCCCAACCCCTGTCCCGATTTTTCACACTTGCTATCTGGTCACCCTACCTAGAGTGGAGGGTTGAGGGACTCCTGCCAGAATCCATGGTAGGGTTGGTACTCTGATAAGCTTATAAACATCCATGTAAAGTTCTTTTGTTTGTAAAATATTTTCTCTGTAGTGCTTTTACCTTAAGAATAAAGTAGGCTTGCTTATAAAGAACTGTGTGGTTATTTATATCTGTAGCAGTCACTCTTATCAGTCTCTGAAGAGACAGCAAACAGGTCTGTTTAGGCACCGTGGGAAATACACAGTGAAGGCAGGGAACTCAGCAGCCTGTGAATACCCTGATCAGAAAGGAGAGACATACAGCTCTCCATCCAGAAAGGCAACAGCTGGGGAGCTGAAACATGAGAGTTGGTGCGCTTGCTGAACCACTGAGGGGAAATGCAGGGACAGTTGCCCTGAACTGTTGCATTCATCATGAGAGTTACTATGAACAAAGTTGTGGCAGACAGACAAAATGAGTAAATATTTGTCACATTTCCACCTCCAGGGTATTTACTGTATTATTTGGCAACATATTTTGTACTAAATGCAATATTCCAATTGATGACAAAAGGAAGTCTACATGTAGGTGCCCTATAGAAGTTACATAAAGATTGATTTTGCAATAACCTTCTCTAGGAAAAAAAACAGGTGATTGAAATGTCTTTGGCATGAAATCAATGCAGCAGGAAAAGTAGTCCCTAGTTTGGTGCAGGCATTTACATCTGATAACCTCCTCCCCAATTTGCAAACATTGCTTAAATTACACTTAAAAGTTTCCCATTACATTAAGCAAAACCAAGTCTGCATTCCTGGAAGCAATCAAACTCCTTTTCCTTAGTAAAAGTTTCAGAAGTCAGTTCTGTGGATGTTTATGGGGGACTCTGTTTTTTTAAACACAGACTACTCTGAGATTTGAACATTTTCCAGTGTAAAGCTCCAATGTGTTAAAAAATAGCCTGTAAAAATTGTTTTATTTAATGAAGCAGTCCTAGAATCTTAAAGCATTGTTCAATTATTAGCTACTTACATGTAATTGTTAATTGAATGTTGACCCATTACATTTACTGGTTTGCTACTTTAAAATGACCTTCTCCCTCCTCCTGCCTCATGGAAAAAAATACAACCTTAGTTACCAGTCACACTAGCCGCTACCACCTTTTCCCTACATCTTTCTGCTAACTAATGTAATATATGAAGATACAGAGTATCTTGAAAAAAACCCTCTGAGCAGTACTGCTGTATAATCATTTGGGCTGAACTGCATTTTGTAAGAAGCAACTGATACCTAGTGCCTTTTATGCACCCACAACCACAAAGAGCTACAATAGATTCTTGGCATTAGGCTGATTTCTCAGTATAAATGAAAACTATTTGGCCCAATCTGGCCATAACCCTATGGCCAACATTTTTGCAAGTTCTTTCCAGCCCCATCATAACCCTCTCAGAGGAAAATAATCTCTAAATACATACTGCTTTGGAGTTCTTCTTTTTGGTCCTCTCATTCTCTAATCCAGCCTGTAGTAAGAGTAAGAATACCCAGTGAAAAGATCAATGAATTCTTGTATTTCTATCTTCCCCCTGTCCTACATGCAGATCTACATGCAAAAACCAAGTCTTGTATTCCTACAAATCTACAGAGCATGCTTCAATGTACACACTCAGTGAGGATATAGAAAACAGAATCACACCAGATTCAAATTACTAGTTTATGATTTAAAATGATTAAAGAATGATAATCATGCAGCTAACGTTAATAGCTGCAGTTAAAACCATTCATGCCTGCTGGATTAAATCAATGAATAGACCCTTCTGCCATATATACATACTACACTAATAGATCCATGCAAAAACTTAGCATAGTAAGTGTTAGAACTGTATCTGAATATAGGCCACTGACCAAGGAAATAGAATATATTGGGTGAACAAATTCTTAATTTGAAATAGGGGTAGGGAATGCAGAAAAGGAGCGAAAAATACAGCCTTCAATGAAATTGGCCACAAGAGCTTGTTTTCAAGTTCTGATGTGGAGGCCTGAAGCACTGATTCACAACAGACAGCTAGAGGGAGGTAGAAACGATGCTCAGTTCAAATAAAGTGGAACTGCTCTTCATTCAGCAGCTTTTAAAAAAGATCTTCTTGTACTTTGCCTTTTATGGAGGCACAGCAAGACCCTATGCTCTGTCACAACAGAGTCACAAGGGAGTAGTATTACCATTGTCATGTGATCTAAATCCAGATTTAAGGATCCCAATCTTACGGTCCTTTTTTATTTTTATTTTTAACACATACTGTTACTATGAATGTTGATTTTATCTTCACAAGCAAAGATAAGGCTATTCAGACATGGTATATACTGTACTGCAGATTTATTCATCTTCTGTTTCCCAGAACAGATCTACTTGAAATGAGTTATGTAAAATAAAAGGTGCTTGAAATACACGAGAAATTAAAGTTGTATATAATATTCAACTCTAATAGGTAACAGCTTTTCTACCTAGATTTTAGTGATTTCCAAGACAGCTCTTTGTACAATGGGGAAAATGTCCAAGAGGTACTCCTGGGGGAATTTTGCACCACTGCGTGTGTGCAGAATTCATGTCCCCCGCAATAGCTTTGCTTCCCTGCAGAAAAATGACTGACAGGTAAGCAAAGGGAAGCTGCAAGAGCAGTCACGCACCACTCCCTAGCTGCACAGGTACATTGTTTCAGCACCCGGAACAGTCGGCGGAGAGGTAAATCACTGCAGGGCTGGGGACACCCCAGCCAGTGACTCCTACCCTGAGCCGGGATCAGATGCTAGTCCCAGCTGGGCTGGAGGCAGGAGAGGATGGGACTTTCTTTTCCCCTACAAGGAGTGGCTGGGGCTGTGTCAGACCCACCCTCAGAAACCTCCCCCTGCTGCAGGAAGCTCAGCATCCTCCCTTGCTTCCTGCCCCCATCACTCCTCAGCTATGGGGGAGGAATCACTGGACAGGGATCTGCTCCCCATCTGCCCAACCTCCATGCATCCTAATCTCCCATACCCAGACACCCCTGCCGAGCCTCACCCCGTACACCCAGAACACCCCCTCGCCCTCCATACCCAAACCCCATCTCCTTGAACCTCAACCTCTGCATCTGAAGCCCCCTGTACCCAGGCCCCCTGCCTCAGGACCCCCACCCTTGCACCCAGACCACTCCCACTGAACTCCCTGCATTCAAGCCTGAGCCCTCACATCCAGACCCCCACACCACTGACTCCCAACTAGCTGCACCCAGACCCCCAGTCCCCACTCCCCCAGCAACCAGACCTCCCCAACCACTTTCACCTGGAAGCCCCTGCAGTGTCCCATTGCCCCTGCACCTGGAACCCCTCCAATGAGCCTCTGTGCATCCAGATCCCCCCACACCTAGACCCCCCACTGAGCTGCCTGCACCCAGATTGTCCCACACAGAATCCTCTCACCCCACACTTGGATCCTCCCATATTGAGCCCCTCCACACTTGGATCTTGCCTGGTTCAGCCTGCCCACCCACACTTGGTGCAGAAGGGCAGGGCCCCAGAGTGTTTCTGGGGCAGGCCCAGGCCTTGTGCTGTGTCAGGGTCGGGTGCAGCCTCACCATGGATTCCATGCCCCGGGGGTGGGGAGGCTGCAGGGTGATCTCCCACCTTCGTGTAGCCAATGGCCTGTGCTCTGCACTGCCATGCTGGAGCCTCTGCATTTATTTGACGACAAATAAAAGTTGCAGAATTTTAAAATATTGTGCGCAGAATTTTTAGGCGCAGAATGCCCTCAGGAGTAAAGAGGAAAAAGTTTGCTGTTCATGTCTCAAACACACATTTTTAAAATAGTGAGATTTGTATTTGTGAAGGTTACCACACAGAGCACTGGAGAACGAAACCATCTCTCCTCCAAGCAGGTACAATGTAAGTAGTGGCAATGCAAGCGTCTCCACGCAGCCCTGAAGGGACGACACCTTTAGGTGGGAGTTAGTTCATTCTCCATGATTGTTATTCAATCCTTTGCCTTGCTGAGTCTGACAAATGTCACAATGCTAAGTGAAGCCGTGGGATGTGTCTCATTCCTTGCAGTCAGGTATCCACATCAGAGACCATAACACTGCCATCATGATCATTTGCCTTTTCGGGTCTCCTTCTCTACTATTGACCAAATATAGCAATAGGCGTTAGTATTTTTTCCCCACAATTTCTATCACACACTAACTTCAAACCATCCTCACCACTGGATAGGCGCTGGCATACTCCAAGTCAGACTGTCAAGAGCATGAGAGGAAACAAAAACTATCAGAATACAAAAACCCAAAGATGGCAATCAGGAAGACATAGGTACTGAGGTGTAAAAGTTTAAAATTCCTTGGTTTTGAGCAATGACAGCACCAGTCAGGAACGTCATCAACCAGAGTAACGAGAGAAACAGAGACAAGTCCTTGTACACTGCATTGTACACTATTGCGCAATAACGCAACAATATTTCACCTTGTGGGATCTTGGATGTGGGACTTGGCCCATTGTGAAATTATTAGGGAAAACTGAAGAGAATTTGCAGTGGAAGAAGACTGAAACCAGGGTCATATGTCTTAAAAAACCAGAAGATGATATTTTAAGTTTTTCTGCAACAAAAATCACTTAAGGGTAAAGCAAGCCTATGGGGCTTCCAGAATGATAAGGTAGGATCCTCGGGCAGTTTTCATCAGTCTCAGAACAAACCACAGTAAAACATTCTTAGAGGAGAACATTCCAGGCGAAAACTCTGTGAGAAAGAAATTGCTGATTTGGAGGACTGGGAGGTTTCACATGGTAATAATTGTTCTGACATTGCTCCACTGTTTGGAAACTTCCTGTCCAAAAGAGAAAGAACCAACCGTCCAAGAGAAAATTTGTAAATTCTACACATCTTATATGGTGTTCCATGAGTCCCCATATAGATATTTCAAGGAACTTTCACAGGAAGCAAAACAGCTTCTTTTCGTGAGAAATTAAAAAATCTCTTTAACACCAAATCCAAATATGAAGATTTCTATAACAAGTAAACTTTGAAACAAAAGGTTTTCAAACAAATTCCACCTTTACTTACTGACAAAGACCAGAGTTCAGATTTCTCTGTGAATCTGATCTAGTTTTACAAACTCTTAAATAGAGACAAGATATAGTTTCCTTGTTTCTAAAGTGTTCTTTATGTTAACTAGGCTTAGCAAAAGAAGCAGAGAACCCTGAACTCAGATCCTAGGAGCTCAGGTTTTCGTTTCACTTTTATACATACATAAAAAGCCAAACCAAAGACCCCTGAAAGAAGTCAACAGAAGCATAACTAAATGTCTACACAAACCACTTAAAGCATGTTCACAATTCTATCTTGTTAAGCAGTTGTGAGCCATGTATCAATGCTAAGAACATAATTAGTTGTATTTTGCTTCTATGTGAATAAAATCATGTGCATTAAACCAAGTCTATTAAGGGACAGACTTTGGTTCAGACTAATGAGCTAATATATCTACATCCTGCTTTCCTTGGCCTGAAGTCACAATTGCCCCAGGGTCAGGGCAGGAAATCTCAAGGGTTTCCTCATTCTTCAAATCTTAAAATTTAGGGGTCAAACCTCCCTCGGTGTGTGTAAAACTCAAATATTTGGATTTATGATCATTCATTGAGGCAGGCTCCCCTTTTAACAGTAATACAGGAAATTAGGTGCAATACATTAGGGATATTATGGCATAAAGTTTCTTCCACAAGACTCCATTAGACAAAGTTTTCTATCAAACAAGGACATTGCTCACAAACTTCACTGGTAAATATTTATGAGCTAGATCTTCAGCTGCTGCTAGTCACTGACTAAAGATCTGGCTCTTCAAACTGAAAGACTGTATGGTTAGTAGCATGGGAATCCTGTTGGATATTAGGGATGCTTACTTACACTCTAGAGAGATTAGAAATCAGACATTTCTTTTGGGTGAGGAAATGCAGCCTGTTTAGTGAAATGCAAATTTTAATTACCAATGACCATCAGAATAAAGTATATTAAGGTCTAATAGGGACCCTTATTCATGAGGATTATGGAGAGGGTATTTCAGTCATTAAATTTCCTTGCAGGCCATGAAAATACACTTCTAGTCAGGACTGGATAAGCAGTTTAATTGAAAATTGCCCAGAACAAACTAAACTGAAACCTCAAGTGCTCTAGGAATGAAAGCATTTTTTCCTAAGTCAGTTCCATGAACAATTTTATTAAAGTTTAATTCAACTAAAATCTTTAAAAATGCATTTTAACGTTCATATTTCTTAACCTTTTCCTCATCATTGAGGAAAACCCATCCATTATTGCTTTCTTGTTAGCGAAATAAAGAATTCAAGGTCACAAAGGTATCAAGCACATTCTAGTTATACTGTTTGGGCAAATTAAATTAATCCCCAATTCCAGGAGGTGGGAATGTTACAGTAAAGCCAATGCCATATAATGAATAGTATATAGATGTCACACAAAAAGGGAATGAGACACTCATAGTACAAGGTATACTGTATGTCCACCAGAAGATGGAAATTTAATTAGCAATAACTCATTCAATTTGTTTCGCCAGTGGTATTTTAGGTCTTTTACATATAAATATAAAACTATTTAGGGGAAAATAAGACCATTCCATTCAATAGTTTCTTGGGGGATATTCCTTCAGAAAGAAAAAAAATATTAACTCTTAGTTGGCTAGTTAATTACAAGATCTTCCAAGAGCTGCATGAAACCTCCCTGCAAATGGTAAAAGCTAGCATTAAGGATGTGGATCATTCTTTAAAATATATAATCTTAATTTGTCTGATATATATCAGGGGTTCTCAACCTTTTTTTTCCCTGAGGCATCCCCGCAACATGCTATAAAAACTCCACGGCTCTCCTGTACCACAACTGTTTTTTCTCTGGCGTTAAGGGGTAAGAAGCAGGGCAATTGCCTGGGGCCCAACGTCACAAGTTGCTCAGGCTTTGGCTTCAGCTCCGGGTGGTGGGGCTTGGGGCCCCAGGCTGCAGTCCTGCATGACGGGGCTTCAGCTTTCTGCCCTGGGCCCTAGCGAGTCTAACGCCAGCCATGCTTGGCAGACTCCCTGAAACTTGCTCGTGGGCCCCCAGGCCCCTGGTTGAGAACCACTGATCTATATCAATCTTAAAGAGGTAAACTAATGCTATCGTTAACTGCATTAAAACTCTTGTCTGCATTAGAAAACAATTATTCCTAATGGAACCAGAAGAACAGAACTGGTTTAGGCACAAATACTTCTATGTGCCCACTCTAGCCATGCTAATTCATGTTCCAAACTGTTGCAGTATTGCCCTACGTCAGTACCAGTACTGCTCGAGACCATTTCAATTGCATGGCCTCTGAGTACCCATCCCACAGGCTCCAGAATATTAAGCGTTTTCAAAAGAATCAGTGCACCACAGGACAGTAGCAGGACTGTCTCAACCATGTGCGCTATGATGAGAGCTAATTTGGGCCACACTGGAATTAAAATGGTGCACGCTGGAATCGTACAGAGTGAAGCAGTTTGATGTACCTACATATATACTGGTTGCACCTATTTTGTACATGACAAAGTGTTTTTCAGATGTACTAGGAAGATGTTACTGTTCTTAAGTGGTGAATTTATCTCATCTAGAATAGATCTATGTGAGCTCCTGTGCTCACTACACATGCACAGGTGATCCTTCCTTAGTGCCCAGTGTCATTTCTGGGAGGAGACAGACTCCAACATCTCAATAATGCCAGCTTTGAGGAAGAAGTCACCTGGATCCCCAAGCTATTTAAAAAGACCAGCTAAGAACAGTATTAATACTGGTTCACAGTAACAATGAACAGATGTGCTTTCCATCAGGTGATTTACATTTAGTTTCTAAACTGTGGCCTCTCACCCCCCAACACCCAACCGAGTGAATGCTGCATCATTTCTCAGATTGCTCCATATGGTCACTAACACTGGAACAGCTTAAAAAGATCCATGCAAGAGGAAATTCTGTAGACCCACATCTTGACTAAATACCTCCCCCAGTGATTAGTGAAGAGAGTATTCGGCAGGAAAAAAAATCTCTACTGAATGTAATGCTTTACTTATATTAATGTTTACAATTTAATGTCTATGAAACTGACACACCTATACAGTTCTCCTTGGATGAAGGAACTGTTGGCTTCAATGTAGGCCTCAAGTATAAGGCTACAATGTAGAAAACTGGGAGGTTTGGGAGACAGGAAATTATCAGAGCTCTTTCTGGAAAGGGTGCAGAGGAACTCGTTGCAAGATGTGGGAGAACAGCAACATCAATAAAAAAAATTCATGCACTTAATTGTACAAGTTACTAACCCTCAGGCTTCCACGGCTACCCACTGACATGCGCTCATCTTCATCTGAAGCCTATTGAAGAGAAAGTGTAGGAGACAAGAAACAATTAAAAGAATACAGATAACAAGCAATGAAACAAGTAACGATAGAATCAATGAAACAGAAGCCAGAGGGAGGAAAAGATTTGGTGCTAAACTCCTTAAGAAAAGGCTTGCCCAGTACATATGTTTCATTTATATTAGATGACAAATATGAGAGTAAATATAACAGAGCCACGTCAAACATTGTATTGCCTGAAAATGGTCCAAAGGAAGTTCTAAAGCATTCCCCTACAGGCTGACCAGGTTAGGAGCTTGTACAACTCCTCTTTGTGCCATGCCTGGCTCATGCAAAACAAACGGGTTCATTGTTCTCTTGTGCAAAACAGTTGGATTTTAATTTGCAAAAACTCCCCAGAATTCTTTGCAGAGAGGCATGAAGTGTTGCAACAAATTAACAGTAAATACATTTGTTTTTAAAGACACACTGCCAGTGTGCTGGAAGTGACGTATGTAAATACGTATGAAGAAGGCACAAAAGAAAATACTAACCGAGGCATTTCTTCTGGATCTACGAGAATAACGCTCACTGTCTTCCTATCAAAGCAGCAGAGAAAATAAGAGGGAAATGTTGAAAGGACAGAAATAGTAAAACAAAGCCTTCAGTAAGAAAAAAATGAAACCTCAGCAGTGTTGAGAAGGAAGCTGGATTTAGTAAGGTTTAATCTGATAATGACAGCTGATGCACTATGGCAACTGAGGAAAAGAATTAAAACTTGCTATTTCCCTATAGCTGTCCTCCTTCCTTCATCCCAGCCCATTCGTCACTACTATACATTTCTAAAATACAATGGCAAGTTATAGGCATTGTTTTCTTTATTTGTACCTAGTTTAGTTGTAGCCATGTTGGTCCCAGGATATGAGCGTGACAAGGTAGGTGAGGTAATATCTTTTAGTTGGACCAACTTCTGTTGGTGAAAGAGACAAGCATACGTGACAATTTACTAATGTGCCGGGGGTTGCTCCCCTCCAGCTCTGTCCCAGGCCCCACCTCTACTCCACCCCTTCCCCAAGACCCCACCCCTGCCCTGCCTCTTCCCACCCCACCCACGCCCTGCCTCTTTCTGCCTCCATTCCCCCTAGCATCCTGCCTTCCGTGGCGGGCGGGAAGCACTGGGAGGTGCTGATCAGTGGGGCCACTGGGAGGACTGGGGGGAGGGGAGGCACTGACAGGGGGGTTGCTGGTGGGTGCTCTGCACCCACCTTCCCCCCCCCCCCATGGGTGGTCCTGTCCTGGAGCACCCATGGAGTCGACGCCTATGGAGACAAGCTTTAGAGCTCCCCAGGAACCCTAAGAAGAGCTCAAAAACTTGTCTTATTCACCAACAGAAGTTTCTGCTTGTCTCTTATTAGTACCTAGACATTCACAGTGCAAACGCACTGATTAAGACAGTCAAATTGACTACCCTAATGGGTCTGAGAGCCTATAGCTACAGCTCTTTTTAAAAGAAAGCTTTCTAGTCTATATCCCACTCAGAAAGAAGTCTTATTCAATTTGAATGGCATTCTCTACCCTGTAAAAATGAGAAGGCAACCACCTTTTAATGTGGGTTTCACTGAAACACATGACCTTTGCTAACAAGCTAAAAGAATGTGTATCATACTCCCAATCACTGGGCTATATTATACATTGCCTTGTATGGGAACTTTGAACACTGACAATGTGGTAGGATGCATTAAATTTCAACAAAATGGTTTTAACACTATTTAGCAATGGCTAAAAAGTGGAATGCAAAATAAACTTGCGTGTTGTACAACTATATTTGCCAGAGGCGAGTTTAAATGTGTTGGTTTTCAAGCAAGCTTCAATATTCTGTGGTTAGCGATCTGCCCAATAAAACTAAGCTCTGGATTTGGGCAGCACTAGAGATAGCGAGCTCTCGCTCTCTCTGTGGAGACCATGCAAGGTTTTGAAGTGACAAAGGCTGACTTGTGAGCTCTCAAGGGCGTATCATCAGGTTTGGCAGGTGGGTCTTGCTCACATGCTCATACTGATCACCATTTTGAGGGTGATGAAGGAATTTTCCCCAGGTCAGACAGACAGGGACCTTGGTTTTGTTTTTGCCTCTCTGCAGCATGGGGTAGGGGTCACCTGCTGGGATCCTCTAGATATAACACACTAAATCAATTCCCTGCATTTGCCAAGGCCTTAGGCATTGGTTCACCTCAGACCCTTCTATTCTCTGCCTGTGGCACTCAATAGTTTAGTCTCCTGAGGGCTGTAATACTTGAATCTAATCCAGGTCAGTAGGTTCAACACAAGGGTAATGGGGGTGGGGTTTAGTGGCCTGTGATGCGCAGGAGACCAGACTAAATGATCTGGTTGTCTCAAACTCAATGAGGAACTTCACCTTGTCTGGATGGTAAGTCACCTTGACAATGGTGGGAGTGTAAACCAAGAAAGTGTGTGTGGGGCTGGGGAGACAGTGGAAAGGGATCATGGTTCCAAGAATCAAGCCAACAACTTCCAAAAACTAACTCATGTTACCAGGTCAGGGGTACCCAAAAAGACCAGCCTGGGAACAACAGCCCTGCCTCCAGTCCCTAACTAATGAATGGCTTTATAAACTAAGGATCAAAGAATAATTTCTTTTTAAAAACTGAAATAAATACATTTGAAACCAAATCTGGTCTGTTTTAGCAACTATTTTAGTTATCAGGAAAAACAACAACTTTTTTCCAAATCTTTAGCTAATTTTTGTGTGTGCTTTTAAATCAAGAAATCCATTTTTAGCAACTATTTCAATCTTATGTTATGACCATCGGATAGTTGGATATTCTTGAGAGGCTAATCTATGTTTCATAGAATCATAGAATATCAGGGTTGGAAGGGACCTCAGGAAGTCATCTTGTCCACCCCCTGCTCAAAGCAGGACCAGTCCCCAATGGCTTACTACATAGTGAAAGCTAGGAAGTTAGATTTCAGAACTGATGGGAGCAGGAGCATCACAAGAGTAATGTAAGAACATTCATGTTGGTGTTTGCCCTTCTAACTACACTGTATAAGGTACAGTTGAAGAGGATCACAGGGTCAACGCAAAGATGCCTGGCTACAACCCACCCAAGGTTTAAGTATTTATTCAACTTAGACATTGAGAACTCAAACTATCACAAAAATTCAGACCAAAAAAAGGTATATCCTATTGCTAATGCCAGCAATAGTTGTAATGTGTTTTAATTCCAATCAGTTTTTAACAGTTTGGGAACAGAGCTTTGTGAAGCAGAACAGCTTCTATAATCACATCCTATATATTAGACCCTTCAAACTGACTACAAACAAAAACACACGTAAGCAATACTCCAGATGCAGAGTTCAAAACAGTCTTCATAAGATTGGAAATTAATTCTTCAAATATAGCAATATACCTGTCCCACGGAATTTCAAAAACATTGTAATCGGTACAAGATTTCAAGGTTAAAATTATTTTTAGCTTTGTTGGTCAAGGCCTACCATCCACTGCTCGATGTCACCCCACTTTGTATCCAGACCATAATATTTCTATAGACAGAAAAGGGAAAAACAGAATTTAGCGGAGAAAGAGAAGCACTGAACTTTGAGACATGCATTGCCATGGTTCTGCCGAGCTGCACAGTCCGGCTCTCACACTGAAACATGCATGCTCAAGGATTAGACAAACATGCCAGTGCAAAGCTGCAAATTGCAGAGCGTGACTCAGCTCCTTCATGCCACTGTGAAAAGCAGCACATGCCTGAGGAAGAAAAGCGTTTTGTGTTGTTTTTAAACCAGACAATCATAAGCAAAGCTGTGGGGAAAGGAGTGAGAAAGGGTGTAATGAGCCTTGGGTTCCCGACCCAGTTCAGTCAAGACTTGTTACAAGGGATCTGAACATAACATTTTCAGGATGAAAAGTTCCAGCAAACCATGGATTTGTATGCTTGGAGGGAAGACAAAGTGATTAATCTCCATGTACTCTTACGAAAATGAACAATTCTTAAAAGAGCCTTTTCAAAATGTGATCGGCTTTTCCACGACTTCCATCATCATGAAAGTGGTACATCATGAATGGCAAGAGGTTACATATCATAAGGAACCTGCAGTACAGTTTAGGATGTGCAGAACCACAAAAGGTGGAGGGTAAGGTCTGGAAAGCCCACACCCACTCAGTACCAAATATCACATATGCATTCCAGGAAAAAAGCCTTCAGTTTCTTGGTTCATATTTTCTTTACATAACTCTGGAGTAACCCTACTGATTCTGTGATTGGATTAGACAAGAAGTGCTTTAGAGTTCAGTAAATTAACAATTTTAAGTTTTTTCTTCCCATATACACACACTGTATTAAAAGCTCTATTTTGGGGCTTTAATGAAAGTCTACTTAACACAAAATAGTATGACAAACTTTTTGAAAGTTATGACAAAATTAAAGAATTACTGCTATAAAGAAGAATCACTGGAAACAAGGAGTAATATCAGCACAGGTAGTTCCTGTTTAGGAGGAAGATGCACATCAGAACAATTTATTTGACTAATATTCTCCTCCAAAAGATTCGTATTATTGTAAATAAGCCCACATCTAATCTTTGCCTGTACCTGCATTGTTGGCAGTGCCTTTGAGAGGGAGACAGGGAATTGTTTTTAAAAGCATGGCTTCCTATTTTGTTTAGATCTCATAACATTTAAGTTAAACATTCAAGAACTAGAAGTCTTTATGGTATACTCAGTGTTTAGCATCAACTCAATTGACTTTACTTCCTAAAACAATCAGTTTATGAGAAAACTTGGTGAAAGAGACACATTTGTTGGCTTTCCTTGTCTAATTCTGTCAGATTACAAACAACTCGACTAACTGTGCCTTCAAACCAAAGGGGGTGATCTCATCTGAGCCTCTCCACTCCCCCCGGCCCGCCCCGGAAAGAGAAAAGCAGTGCTTTTCAAAGGAGATCATAAACATGACTGCTCAGTTAGGAGAATCTGGGCAGACAAAACCGAATGATTAACTTGATAGATATCATTGGCTTGGAGGAACAATTGAGAATGGGTGGATGGATGCTTACTGCAGTCTTATACAAATATGAAAAATATTAGAATATAAGCTTCCAAAAGCAGTGTCTGCCATTTAAATCAAACATTTTTAAAATAATTAAAAATAAGAGCATTTATTTAGTGCTTTATATGTTTAAAAGCACTATGCAATCATGATTCTGGAACATAAAGAAAAAGACTCTTATTCAGCAAGGTAATTTACTTGCATGTTTAAAATTCGGCACGTAAGTTATTGCTTCTCTTTTCCACAAAGCATTTAAGCATTTAATGTTCTTGCAATGCTCATACACTGCTTAGCCAGAAAGAAATAAGAATCCAAAGTGTACTTCAAAGTAGGGCTTAATACATTTCTTTTGTACTTCTTGTGCTTTCTTCAGTAACTGACCATGGTTACAAGCTTTATGCATCTCATCACAAGTGCTGAGGTAGACATGTAATATATACGACAACCTACCCCAAAATTAAATATAATGTAAGGTCCCAATCCTGTAAATAAATGAACTGGTTTAGACAACTGCAGAGTCCTGTTTGGCAAAACTTATACATTTTGCTTTGTAATATTCAGGACAGGTAAACTGATTAAAAAGGCACATTTTCTCCAAAACAATTTGCTTGGAATTTTGTCTGGTAACCAGATTGATTTAAATGATGCAATTCAAACCTAAAAATTCCATGAAAATAAAAAACGCAAGCCATTGGGTTTGCATAGGAAGCTTTTATAAATAGAATTAACAATATCCTCAAGGTTTTGTGAACCATGCTTTCTGCATACTTAATCCTACTGTTTGTGACTTGGCCTTCTGAATTCAGTCTTGTGAATAAGGACAAGGAGATACCCATAGAAGATTTCAATGTTTCTCAAATTTACCTCCGGGGAGTTTTACAGTTCTCTTTTGTGCCTTCCCTTCCTCCACCCACCTAAATCTACACGGTTTAGTACCATTGGTGAAAGAAAGGCTATTGAGTGCCTTAGAGATTCTATTCTTTAATTTATAAAATGCTTTGATATAAACATGATCACCTCATATTGACTGAAAATATTTGGTAGTCTTTTAAATATGTGAAAGTATTACAGACATTTGCCAAACCAACTACATCAAGTCTCTTTCTTCAAGTATTCAAAGTTGACTATTATCTAGTTTCCCTGCAGATTTCTCTTACAAATGCTAAGTAATTCTAGGACATTTTCAAGAAGAAAAATTACGTTCACCCATTCATTTGATCTTTGTAGTTAGTATGCTATTGCGAGCTTCAAGTGCTGTTCTAATCAGAAAAGTGACATTAAATAGCATTGTGAGGTTCCAGTTTTAACATCTGCCAGGAATTCCAGATCAAGTTTACTCCAATTATAAGAGTTAGAAAAAACTAACTGGCAGCTTTTTAAATACTAAAAATGGGATTTGAAAGTTAAACTAGGTAGTTCCTGGTTCACATAGTAATGATTCTGAAGACCAAATTTTACCTTGTTCTAGCTGCACAATCAGAATGCCTCCAATGGGGATGTACATATGTAGTGTAACTAAGGGTTAAATTTGATCCCATAATTGGGACTTAACAACTCTGTTGTCGTGCAGGCAGAAACTGAATTCAACTTGCTCTCCCAAAACAGAGTTGGTTCGGCAAGGATAACGAGATTAAAATTTATTTTTGTCACTGAAGTAATCAAGCTATTACTCTGAACAGATAGCAGCTCATTTCAATAAGAAAGTGTCAGTTTTACATACTCACTTTTCAGCATAACACAGCACTTTCAGAACTCTACACTACATGGTCAGCTAGTGAAACATGCAACAAAGGATACTGAAGTGACAAGTTAAAGCAAACCAGAGTTTGATTTACAGAAGACACTTATGGTGCAATGAAAGGTAACAGTCTCAGAAGGACCATTTATTAAATAAGGAGGATGACAGCAGGTTTATATAGTCTTGGGTTTCCTTCTTCCCCAAGATGATACGGTTTTTTAAAACAATTTTTCCGTTTAGGTGCTATACAGTTCATGCACAGCAAGTATTGTACAGCTTGAGATTTTGACATAACATGAAGACTTGCTGATGATCAGTAACTATTATAAACATTAAAAATTGTAATTTTTGCATTCATTCCACAAACTACTGTACAGTTTATGACACATGAAGCCACCATACAGTTTCACATTATGCCTGATTTGTCAAATTAATCTTTCGCTGACTACACTGACCATTTACGTGAAAATCAGCAGGAGGGAATAACTTGAAATTATGAGACGTGAGCTAGAAAGATACTGAAATTAAAAAGAGTGTTTGACAGAGGAGAGGGTTGTTTTAAAATGTTTGACTAAGCACATTATTTTCTTAACTACCAGCAGAACTCTCAGAGCTGGGGTAAAGGAGGGACAGTTAGGGTACGGAGATCACATAATAGTTAAGGATAGTTCCACACAGAAAAAACCTGCTGCGTACCATGCATTCTTGAGGGGGTTTATTTCTGAAATGGTATCAAGGCCCCTGATGTGACAAAAATGCATGCAAATGATAACACAAGAGACCAGACAAACCCTACCTTTTGGACCTGATAGATCTACAGGAAAACAGGGAAGAGGAAAGAAATTGGGAAAGAAAAAACGCTTGTATGAATAAATTAATAAATAGCAATACAATTTTAGAACCTACTGTAAAGGGAACAGGTTGTTTATATAGTACATACAGTAAAGTGTGAATACAGAAATAAGCCATAATTGAAATCCAGGAAACCTTTGCAAAATTAAACTTCCCTGCTTTCCCTCTCCAGCCCCCGTCATATTGAGCTTAGTCAAATTATGCTCTTCCTGATTTTACACCCACTTGATACTATAATACAGAAACAGATGTAGCTGCATGTTAACTTGTAAAAACATTTCTCAAGCTTTACATTGAGTCTGTGGCAAGATTCTTTCATTTCAAAGATCAGATGATGAGAATTGGATTTGCACCACTTGCCTATTCCACCCTCCCTCCAAAATGGTGGATACCCAAATATCTATCCAAGAGGACAATTATGCATCTACTATTACAATAAAATCAAATGAGTTTAATAGCATTAGCTGTAGATTAAACTGCCAGCCCTTAGTAATCCTCTGCTTTGTTTCTGGGTTGTACTTAGCCAAGGAGCAGCAATGACATTTTAATAACTAGTAGAAAACGGCATTATCAAGTACAATTTTCAATCGATCAGTTATACAGAAAATGTGTCAGCTGTTGGCTAGGACTAATGTTACTGCTCAAAAGCCTGTACGTACACCCAAATGCTTCCAACTGTGTTCCTCTTCCTCTGCCCAGCTTTTAATTGTAATTGTTAATAGGCCTCCAATGATCAGATTGAAAGTGCACGTCTGCAGCCAGTAATGACTGCACTGCTGCTGCTGCTACTAACCAAACTGTTGCCTAATTTCTTACTAACAGTTTGAATAGTACACCAAAAAAATTACCCACATGCTCTCTTCTCTAGTTAGTTTACTGACTAAGAATTTACTTTAGTTTTTAGACTAATGACAATAGTGTGTTTGTATTGAAAGAGACAGAAAAGTGTAGAGAATGGAACAAGTTTCCTTTTGAATTGGTATTAGTACCTCTAAGCAACAAGCAGTTTTTGTATTAAACAGATACATAGTAGGAAAAACATTGAACCATGGAGGAATGGAAAATGGATTCATTCTGTTGTACATGTAGAGAATTTACAGTGCTGGTCAATTAAGGAAGCTCTTAATTCTCCAGTATAGCAGAACTGCCAATCAATCATTAATTTTACCTAACATCTATTTTTTTTTGGAGATTCACAGATATTGAATAAATCCCATCACTTCTGAAACTAGGGGGCACATGCTCTTTGAGATGTGTTGCCCATGTCCATTCCACTGTAGTTGAGCGTGCACTTTGTGCACCATTGTTGGAGAACTTTTTCCCCTCAGTGGTACCCATCGGGGTGACTTGAGTGCTATCGTCATGCGCCACTTCATGCTGGTATAAAAGAGCAGAGCCACCCCCAATCTCCTTCAGATTCTTCTTACTGGATAAACTCCAAGAGAGAGGGAAGGAGTTCAGGTTGTGGAATGGACATATGCAACACATCTCAAAGAACAGTTATGAAAAAGGTAGGTAACCATTTTTTCTTCAAGTGACTGCACGTCTTATCCACTGTAGGTGACACACAAGCAGAACAACATTGAGGCAGGTTTGCAGTCTATCTGAACAGTGATTGTAGAACAAATGTCCAAAAACTAGCATTGTTCCTGGACTGATGGGAAACGGCATAATGAGCAGCAAAAGCGTGTACCCTAATGACCATAATTCTGCTTTGCAAATGTCTCGAATAGGTACTTGTGCTAGGAAAGCTGCTGAAGCCACTTGCATTGTGGTCAAATGAGCTGATACTTTAGGGGTAGCGTGACATTAGCTAACTAGCAGCACAAACAAATGCAAGAGAAAATCCAAAAGGAAGTCCAGCATGGAAATCAGTTTGCTTTTCATGCTGTCCACAACTGCAACAAATAACTGCGTAAAGGGTCAGGTGCGGTCCAAGTAGAAGGCCAATGCTCTTCTCACATCCAATGAATGAAACTTCTGCTCATCTGTATACACGAGGCTTCTGGAAAAATGTTGGTAAATAAATTGCCTGATTAATGTAGAAATTGAAAACTATCTTTGTCAAGAATTTTGGGCGATGATGGAGGTAAACGTTATCCTTATGAAAAACCGTGTAAAGAGGTTCTGAAACCAAGGCTCCTAATTTACCCACTCTCTTTGCTGAGGTTATTGCACCAGAAACACCATTTTCATAGAGAAGTGGAGTAGGAGGCAAGTCGTAAGAAGTTCAAAGGAAGGCCCCATTAATTTTGTTAGCACGAGGTTGAGATCCCATGGGGTTCTTGTACCAGAAGAAATAATCTGTCCAATCATTTTAGAAATCTGATAGTAAATCGTTTTTTTAACTCCATAACTGCTCACTGCAGAGTGGAACATTACAATCACAAATGTACTTTAATGGAACTAACTGTCAGGCACTACTGTTGGAGGTGCCAAAATGTGGTTAATGGAAGCCTGCTCTGGAGAGAGACTTCTCTGCTGAGACCAGATAAAACAGCATTGCCATTTGTGGAGTGGAGGGCCTCCTGGTTGCACAGGCCATTGTCCCTTGCATTGTCCTCACTGTTGGGACATCCAGGGACTCCAGGGCTCTGATCGAGGGTAAGCTTCCTGTCTGTTGTGGGACACAAAAGACCCCACTTCCGAATCTGACTAAGATGACTGAGCCCAGAGATAACAATGGAGCAGAACCTATGTCAATAGGAGACAGGTATCCCAAACCCAGAGATGGTGGTACTGTGGATATTAATGGTGGCTTGCCCCATGAATGAGCCAGCCTTCTAGGTACTGGAAGTGGCTTCGGTCCACATGCTCATTGCCCAAAGTTGTCTGGAGCAAATCCATCAGAAATGTATAGATGTGTATATGGGTTTTGTTACAATCTCAGTGAGTGAAGGATGGAATTTAAATCTGATCCCAATGGGCAAGTCTAGCAAATATTTTGACAACCAATGCTCCAATAAGTCGAATATCTAGTAGGTATCTGGAATATGGAAAGTAGGAGAGCCTCTAGGTGGGAAATGAATTAAAATATCCTACAGCTCATTTAGACTGAGCAAGAATGCTTATTAAACTCTAGATTTCCACTTCTCTCGTATTTTCAGTTGCCTTTCACTGTATCTAGCTGGCAAAAATGCATCACAAAAAGCAGGTTAGGTGTAGGAGGTATTGGTCTTATTTAGCTTGTTTTTCCTCTCTCCCTGCTTTACCATTCTCATTTTCTTGTACCTCTCTCTGTCTCATCTTCATTCTTCAGAATCTTTCACTGTGCATGGGCTGCTGAGAAAAAGGTGAGGTTTGCACTGGACTCTGACAGCATTCACAAATGGGTACATTCTGGTGTCTGGCAGATGTTCCACAGTTTGGAGACAGGGCAGAGAAAATTTTGCCTCTGAGTCCTAAAATATTCACACTTAGATTAGAAAAGTTTGTGTGCTCAATGAGTGTAGCATTTTGCAGCTAGAGAGGTGGTCTCAGAGTCTGGACCCAGTTTATTAATGGCATTAATGATTAGGCCAAGGGCCTTGATTTGGACCCAGAGGTTAATGTGGGGGGCGGGAGTGGCGAGCACAGTGTAATGATGTAATGTGCTGTCAACAGCTAGCCTGGATCAAGAAGCGGGCTGCTACATTTTATAAAAATGGGATTTTTGATTAACCACTAACATTAACTTGCAGGAGTTACAGTAGTTCATTCTTGAGGTGAAAATGCATGGATTAGGGTGGTTACATCCAGGTCTGACAGAAATAGGTATACTCCACACTGACAACATGGAAAGTCATCATATAACTAAACGACTAGGTCCCAACTAAAAATAAAGTAGAATAAAGTCTTCCATATTGAAAGCCGTACTTCAACACACCAATATTAACTAATACATCCTTCAAAAAGCCCTCCTGAATTTCTAATAAAGTAGTGGAAAGAGACTGCTTTATAAATTAAGATTAATCCTCCCGCTTCCAATTTAGCCTTAAAATAGAGAGTAGGTTTATCAGAGTTTAGAGCCTTTTGGCCGCTCTGCAGGAAGCCCAAACATTAATTTATATAGTAAGAAAATACCTTCATGGGAAAGATTAAACAAAAGGAATAAATGTCGACCATAATAAATAGCATAATCAATAACTATCCATTACTTTTAAACTAAGAGGGATATCCTATTGCAGCTATATAATCAAAGATTTTTTTTTCTTCTATCAATAGATCTGTAAGCAGTCAGGACTCTTTAGTATTTACAATATTTCAATACAGAAAAAGAAATCTACTTTATTATTGCCCACAGTGGCTTGGTTACTGCAACATCTACAATAAATGTACCACTTAACGTAAACGGTACATGTTTGCTACTACACAAAAATGATCAAATTGCTAGATCCTGGGGCAGAAAAAAGGTAAGCACTATTGTCAAGACGAAAGGTCTATGGATGATGCAGTATTAGTTCACATATAATCTTCACTTCTTCCCCTTTCTATCCTGCCGTGAATCATAGTACCTGTTTTTAGCTGCTTTGCAGTCTCAAAACCGAATACAGGCCAATCTTCATACAGGAACAGCAGTCTCTCTCCCATACAGAAGTGGAAAACAAATTCCAGCCAAAACTTCCCTGCCCTCCAGGCCAAGCCAGAGGGAGTTTTGTTTCCTTGTAGGTCTCTCACTGCCGGTTACCTTCCCAGCCTTAGATGGCTATCACACAGAATCCTAGTTACCCAGTGTCAGATCTGGGTCAGCAGGTCACATGACCTACAGACATTAAATCCAAGCAAGGAAAGAAAGTGTCTTAATTCCCACTCAGTAGGGGATTAATGGAAATGAATCACAATTGCAAGTCTTTCACGTTCATTAACTTAATTTATTTACAAAAATACATCTTGAAGGAACAGTTAGGAAAGGACACTATAGAAAAGTTTATATCAATATTTTGCTGTAGCTAGTAAATATATTTTCCTCCTCCTTTGGCTTTG